AAGAAATTGAAATCAATCTAGTCTTCACTATTTTTTTTTTAAAAATCATCATAATTTCCTCTAAAAATAGTAATCTAGAAAAATCTCGATTTGTATACAAAGATTATATATCTCATAATTATACCCAAATTAACACCATAATATTAACCATTCATGTCATGGTCCATCCTTAAAACGACAATTTAACAACATAACAATTTACCTAGCTATTGGCTAACCCCATTCAAGTATTGGTTGAATTGCAGATAAGTTTAAATTAATATGGGCTTACTATTTTTCAAATAATTTCAACAAAGTCATCTCCAAAAATTAACAATATAAGATTCCTTGGTTATGAAAAAGAATTACAGTCCAGCCATGCATTGATCAAGCTGTCAAAACAACAACTTTGTGTGACTAAAGTAACCTGAAGACAGGAAAGAAAATGAATTAGTCATATTCGTAGGACACTAAACCAGACAAAAAGAAAAGGAAAAATGGAAGCGTATAAGCGTATGCGAGAAAATAAGAATTGCAAACCCAATAAAGCAAATGCGAGAAAATAGAAGCGTGTAAGCAATTGTCTAAACCCAATAAAACAAATGGAAGCACAAAAAAAGAACTAATTTGTAACGGAAAAATTGGGAAAACAAAGCTAAGAGGATTCCTTTTGTGATAGGGGTTCTTTCAACATCAACTCAAAGCCACACAAACAAAAAGTTACAATAAAACTTAAGGACATAATCAATAGTTAATTGAGAAAGTTTCTAAAACCCGTAAACTTTTATAGATTTCAAACAAAATAGATCACATTCAAAGTGGTATGACACTAAAAATAAATAACCTAGCTATTCTCAAAATAAATAAAAAATTACCTCCCGACATGAGAGTGTCGAGTGATCGTGATCACCGCTTGAGTTCAACCATAGCAAACATTTCCTTCAATTTGCGTCAAATTGAACCTAATGGCAATAGAAACACATGTTTATCAAAAAAATCGACCCATCATTCCACAGAAGAGTTGGAAATTAATCAACCTTTATATACCAATGGAGCAATAACATTCAAACCAATTTAACATTCAAAATACCCAAACTATAACAATCAAACTATAACATTCGAGCTACAACAAAACTTATCAAACTTATTTAAAAAAACACTCAAATGAACACCAAACTTATCAAATCAATTTAGAGCATCCAAATTCCAATTGAAAATTGCCAACTTGATATCTCATCAAAAGTATGCATATTAATATGCTGAAACACGTCTATGAACCTATCAATTTCATTAGGCTATTCAAATTAAACAAAAATTCACAGGGGTTCAAATTAAATACTAAAATTCATATTCAAAACCACAAATAATATGTACATCACCAATGCAGATAAAATACTCAGCAAATCAAGCCAAAACTCTCACTTCAGAACACCAAGGTGGAGTAGTTATATAACCCCAAACTGACTCTCAGTATGCAGGAGGCAAACCTGAAAATTATGGAAGAACCATAAATTTAAAAAAACACAAATAAAAGTAGAAACGTATTAGAGTAAAGAAATTGACAACTTTCGACCACTATAGAATGTGTTTGGTTGCTTCATTTACAAAAACTTTTTTAAATGATGGTGTCCTTTAATTCCAAATAAACAAAAAAACTTCATACTAAAAGCTAGTTCAGACTTCATAGAAAAATTCAATCTTACACAGTTAAAAAAAATTATGATTCATATATCATATCTCATTTTTTTTCCAATCAACGTGATAATGAACTCACACTTAGAAGAAGAAACTCCAATTTAGCCCAATACAAAGCTAAAATACTAATGGAATTATATCAGTGCTTTAAAACCCATATCAATGCTTTAATGAATTCGTGAATAGCAGATGGAAGAAACTGTTCGGGAAAAAAAAAAGATCTCTAATAACCCAACAAAATAAATTCATTTTAAATTATCCAAGAAGTTGGGCAAAGAACATGCGGGTTTTGAAATTCATTTTAATAAAAGATCTCTGATAACCCATCAAAGCCAGCTTTTGAAATGCAATAAGAGATTCTCGCAAAGTTATTGGATTTCCAATAAACAAAATCAACTTTTTCTAATCCCATGAATTGTCTATTCTTCAACTTCCTTTTCCATGAAGCAACCAAACACATGATTCATTTGATAAAGAGGAAAAAAAAATGAAAACCCATTAACTTAGGCAAAGAACAACGTGATAATGAACTCAGAAGTGGGTATTTTTTTTTTCACTTAGAAGAAGAAACTCCAATTTAGCCCAATAACAAAGCATACTAATCAAAGAAGGACTGACTCAACGCTTCAACCAACCTCCAAAAATTAAACAGACAAAGAGAAAGGACTGACCCAAAAGGGTGCTAAGCGAAAGAGTGGGGGAGAGGGAGGTACTTGGGCTGAGCTTGGTGAGATTGGTGAATGGGTGTTGATCGTCGCTGGTGTTGCCGTTGTGTGCTGCTGCTGAGCCATGGCAGAGGAGTGAGAGGGGTGTGGGTAGAGGGGTAAGGAGTCTGGGTAGCGTGTGCTGCCGCTGTGGAAGAGGAAGTGACTGGAGGGGGTAGCGTGGCAAAGGAAGTGACTGGAAGGGGTAGCGTGTAAGGGGTGGGTTTGATTTGGGCGGGATTTTTGTTTATGTGAGATGAAATGTGAGCCTTTGGATTAAGTTTGAAGAATTGAGATGAAATCTTGGTCATTGAATTAAAATTAGAATGAATCAGAGCCGTCCTTGTGCTTTCCCAAATGAATTTAAATTAAATTAAATTTTAAATTGAGAAAATATTCAAAATTGGTCCTATCTTATTATTATAGATTATGGAATTTAAAACGACATAGAATAAGAGCTCCCCAACAGATTTCTCATGATTCTGAGTCAAACAAAGCACAAAAAAATTAATGACAAAGCTTCACAAAACTTTCAATCAGAGATATAAAAAAAAAAGGAAAAAAAAATCAGAGACAAAGAAGTGGATTTAGAAAGAGATAAAAAAATCAGAGACAAAGAGGTAGATTTAGAAAGTACTGGTAACTAATTTCCCATGATCATCAGTCCAAAACAAAGCTGGAAAAAAAAAAGCAAGGATAATAAAGCTTTACAACAACATTCAATTCAGAGATAGAAAAAACAAAGGGAAAAAAATGAGAGAGAGAGAGAGAGAGAGAGATTTACAAAGTATTGGCAAGGTGAATATCAACTTCGAGAGCTTTAAGAGAATCCTTCAACGACTTTCCCATGGCCACACTTTTCCTGGAAAATTAACTCCCATTCAACAGAAGAAAAATCCCAAGGAAAAAAAAATAAAAAAGCAGAATAAAATCTCCAAGTCGGTGGAAGTATGTGAAGGATTTAGTAACCAAAAGGGTAAAGGACTGATTTTTAACTCTGTAGACTAACAGTCCACCAAGAAACAAACTTTCTCTTCTAACAAAGAACACACCCTGATCCGATTTAAATAGAATTACAAATAAAAAATTAGTGGATCATACCAATTCTTGTGCTGTTTGGGTCTCATTGGAGTGTGTGTTTGCATCTCAGTCACTTGCACTAAGTATGTTTTTATGCCTTCAGCTTCAAACACGAAGAAATGGTCCCAAACCATATCTGATTGCCTTCACAAAATGCAGACAATTGCTAATAACCTTGCTGCTGCAACCAAAGGTTTCTTATCAGGTTCTCATTCTTTATATTCTGCCTGTCTTAGGGCCAGAGTACATTTTTTTCCGTATCAGTCCAACCACCAATATAAATACTTGAAGCAATAACAGACCTATTGGAAACTCCAGAAATCATACTTTTCGGGAAAAAAAAGAAAGATCATGATAAAAACAATTTTAATTTAAATCACAACTCAGTTGATTCACACAATTTTAATTTAAGCAGTGATGGCTTATAGTCCTAATCCGAACAATTAAAAAAGAAAAATTAAACCTAAAAAACATGGAAATTATAGAACATGTCGTATTAATGTTCAAGAAAACTCTAGAAATAAGAAGTGGCACTGCGAAAAAACAGACCCAAATTAAACTATTAGAAAAATGAGGTGACGGCCTACAATATTGTCGAGAATTTTCACAATCACATATTAATGACTCGCCGCACTTGATAAAATCATGTCTCAACTATTTATGATCGAAAAATTAAAGCAAATTAGATAAAGATAACCAGCAAAAAAAAAATCAAAATCAAATGCATAAATTCAAAATAAGCCAAAATCAAATGCATAATCAAACGTCCAGGTACACCCCATCTCTCACTCTCTCTCTCTCTCTCTCGACAACACATACACACAGTCAAATCCACAAATCCTTGAGTATCCATGTTTCATAGATTAGCGGTCTAGTGGATAGTCAGAGAAAAACAAAGTTGCTGCCAAAGATGAAAAACAGAGGGAAAAAAGGGTATTGCTGGGAAAAACAGAAGCATCGCAAAACATATGGCTGAAGCGGACGCAGCTCCATTGGCTTTGAAGGCTGATTTTGCATTTAGTATGTGATGTACTGAATTTCTTATCAATTAAAAAAAAAAAATGGGCATTGATATGTGATTTATGAAAGCAGATTTTTCAGCTGTTGTTTTATGCTTCATTTTGGTTCTACTTACAAAATGTTGGTACCCAATAATACTTACTTAACTATCACTCAAATACATAATCCAAGTACCCGATGTACAAACGAAGCCAGTTTGTTTTCTAACTTAAGGACTTAATTGATCATTGCTTCAAATTCCCAAATTCAATTCTAATAAGCGGGGATGCAAATAACTCATTCGTGCTATTTGTGAAAATTATGTACCGGGTTTTTGACTCGCAAAAATAAGCTAATGCTTTGCTTATAAGTAAGCATTTTGATGTATGTTCACACCTTGTTCACACTGTTCAAGGAATGGTAGGATCAAAGCTCCTACACTCCATTGAAGATTTCTGTACACCATCACAGAAAAAAAACCTTAAAGGACACCCAATCTAAATGTAACCGGAACCAACATCTTGAATGCATATTGGATCGGTATCATGCCTGAGAACGTGTTGTTCTCCAAGGACAAAGCTGACAATTTGGGCATGAAACCCATGAACCCGGGTGAGTGAAGAGACCCGATGGGACTAACCCACTGAGGTCCACCACCTTCTGTCCACAGAGAACTTTCTTCCATTAAAGATCAAAAACCTCGCTGTGTGTGCTGCTGAAAACCCCCATGTTTATGTGCAATGTCATGAAAACCCCCATCAAATTGCTCTTAGCCTGAAAACCCCCATGTTTTCAAAAGTCGGTCATTGGTGAAAGGGATTCGTGTGTGTGAATGTGAATGTGAATGGTGTGTGTGCTGCTGAGCGATTGGAGAGAGAGAGAGGAAGAGAGGGGGAGAGGGAAGTACCTGGGCTGAGTTGTCGCTGGTCGCCCGGTGGTGTGTGTGCTGCCCCTGAGTACGTTGGTGTGAATGGTGTGTGCTACCGCTGAGCCATGGCAGATGAGTGAGAAGGGTATGGGTAACGGTGTAAGGGTACCGCTGTGTTGAGCCATGAGCCATGGCAGAGGAGGTGACTGGTGAACAGTGCAAAGGTGGGTAGCGTGTAGGGGTTTGTTTCATTTGGGCAGGATTTATTTTTTATTTGAGATGAAATGTGGACCATTGGATCAAATCGGAAGAATTGAGGTGAAATTTAGGCCTTTGAATTAAAATTAGATTTAATCTGAACAGTTTTTGTGCTTTCCCAAATGAATTGAAATTGAATTAAATTTTTAAACAAAAAAAATTCAAATTGAGTTCTATCTTATTATTATAGATGAATAATCAAAGCATTAAAAATTACACAAAAATTAGTAACAAAAGAGAAAATTACAATCTAACTAATTCAAATAAAATGTACGTATTGTGTGGAGCTGAAAAAAAATGGTGGCACTGAATTTGGATTATGCTACGATTTATTATGAATTTCTTAAATTCTTCCCTAAAATAGAAACAATGGACTGTCAAAGCATAAAAAATTGCACAAAAATTGTTAGAAAATAGAAAATTGAAATCCAACTTATTAATATAAAATGTACGTATTGTCTGGAGTCTACAAATATTGGTAGGGCTGCATTCAAAATCTCAAATGATTTATTTTTTATTTTTTCCTTAAAATGAAAAAAGAGATTATCAAAGCATTAAAACTTAGACAAAAATTATTTTAAATAGTAGAAAATTGCAATCAAACTTATTAAAATAAAATGTACAGATTGTCTGGAGTCTAAAAAAATTGGTGGCATCGAATTTGGACGTTGCTATGATTTATTATCAATTTTTAATTTTTTTTTCCTAAAATAGAAAAAATGGATTATCAAAGTATTAAAAATTTTGCAAAAGTTATTATAAAATAGAAAATTGCAATCTAAATATTAAAAATAAAATGTAAGTATTGTCTGGAGACTAAAAAAATTGGCAGCACTGAATTTGGACTTTCCAATGATTTATTACTAATTTTTCAAATTCTTTCCTTACAACAGAAAAATTGAAATATAAAAAATTTTAAAATGGCCAAAAACTTATTACAAAATAGAAAATTGCAATCTAACGTATTCAAATAAAATGTACGTATTGTCCAGAGTCTAAAAAAATTGGCGGCGATAAGTTCGGACTCTGCCATGGTTTCTTTTTAATTTTTCAAATTCTTTCCTAAAATAGAAAAAAAAAAGATTATCAAAGAGAATAAAAATTGCACAAAAATTATTGAAAAATAGAAAATTGCAGTGTAACTTATTAAAATAAAGTCAACGTATTGTTTGGAGTCTAAACAAATTGGCGACATTGAATTTGGACTCTGCTATGATTTATTATGAAGTTTTCAATTTCTTTCCTCAAATGAAAAAAAAAGGATTATCAAAGAACTAAAAATCGCACATAATTACTAAAAAAGGAAAATTGAAATCTAACTTATGAAAATAAAATGTACACATTGTTTGGAGTGTAAAAAAATTTTCGACACTAAATTCAAACTCTGCTATAATTTATAATTAAGTTTTTAAATTCTTTCTAAAAATGGAAAGAGGGGATTTCAAAGAACTAAAAATTGCACCAAAATTATTTAAAAATACAAAATTACAATCCAACTTATTAAAATAAAATGGACGTACAGTTTGGAGTCTAAAAAAATTGGTGACATTGAAATTGGACTCTCCTATGATTTATTGCTAATTTTTCAAAATTAATTCTAAAATGGAAAAATGGATTATCAAAGTATTAAAAAATACACAAAAAATATTCAAAAATAGAAATTGAGATATTACTTATTAAAATAAAATTTACGTATTGTCTGGAACCTAAAAAAATTAGAGTTGCTGAATTCGGACTCTCTTATTATTTATTTTCAATTTCTAAATTTCTTAAATCAACTAGAAAAAATGGAGTATCAAAAAATTAAAAAATTGCCCAAAACTTATTTAAAAAATAGAAAATTGCAATCCACCTTGTTAAAATAAAATCTATGTATTGTCTGGAGTCTAACGAAATTGACGGCACTGAATTAGAATACTGCTATGATTTATTTTAAAATTTTCAAATTCTTTCACGAAATAGAAAAAATGGATTATAGATGCAATAAAAATTACACAAAAATTATTGAAAAATAGAAAATTGAAATCTAACCTAGTAAAATAAAATGTACGTATTTTATGAAGTCTTAAAAAATTGGCGGCAATGAATTCAGACTCTCCTATTATTTATTATTAATTTTCTCATTACTCTACCAAAATTGAAAAAAAGGATTATAAAAGCATTAAAAATTAAGAAAAAAATATTAAAAAAAATAGAAAAATGCAATCTAACTTAGTAAAATAAAATGTACTTAGTTCCTGGACTCTAAAAAAATTAGCAGTACTGAATTTGGATGCTGCTATGATTTATTATGTTAATTTTTCAAATTTTCTGCTTAAATAGGAAAAATGGATTATCAGTGCAATAAAAATTGCACAAAAATCATTAAAAAAAATAGAAAAAATGTAACCTTACTGATTAAAATAAACTGTACGTATTGTCTGGAGTCTAAAAAACTTGGCGGCACAGAATTTGGACTCTGCATGTATTAATTATTAATTTATTTAATTCTTCCTTAAAAAATAAAAAAATGGATAATCAAAGCATTAAAAATTACACAAAAATTAGTAACAAAATAGAAAATTACAATCTAACTTATTGAAATAAAATGTACTTATTGTGTGGAGTTGAAAAAAAATGGTGGTACTAAATTTGGATTATGCTACGATTTATTATGAATTTTTTAAATTCTTCCCTAAAATAGAAACAATGGATTGTCAAAGCCTAAAAAATTGCACAAAAATTATTAGAAAATAGAAAATTGAAATCTCACTTATTAAAATAAAATGTACGTATTATCTGGAGTCTAAAAATATTGGCAGGGCTGAATTCAAACTCTCATATGATTTATTATTAATTATTTTCCTAAAATAAAAAAAAGAGATTATCAAAGCATTAAAAATTAGACAAAAATTATTTTAAACAATAGAAAATTGCAATCAAACTTATTAAAATAAAATGTACAGATTATCTAGAGTCTAAAAAAATTTGTGGCATCGAATTTGGACGTTGCTATGATTTATTATTAATTTTTAATTTTTTTTTCCTAAAATAAAAAAAATGGATTATCAAAGTGTTAAAAAATTTGCAAAAGTTATTATAAAATAGAAAATTGCAATCTAAATATTAAAAAAAAATGTAAGTATTGTTTGGAGACTAAAAAAATTGGCAGCACTGAATTTGGACTTTCCATTGATTTATTACTAATTTTTCAAATTCGTTCCTTACAATAGAAAAATTGAAATATAAAAAATTTTAAAATGGCCAAAAACTTATTACAAAATAGAAAATTGCAATCTAACATATTCAAATAAAATGTACGTATTGTCTAGAGTCTAAAAAAATTAGCGGTGATAAGTTCGGACTCTGCCATGGTTTCTTTTTAATTTTTCAAATTCTTTTCTAAAATAGAAAAAAAGGATTATCAAAGAGAATAAAAATTACACAAAAATTATTAAAAAATAGAAAATTGCAGTGTAACTTATTAAAATAAAATCAATGTATTTTTTGGAGTCTAAACAAATTGGCGAAATTGAATTTGGACTCTGCTATGATTTATTATGAAGTTTTCAAATTCTTTCCTCAAATGAAAACAAAAAAGGATTATTAAAGAACCAAAAATCGCACAAAATTATTAGAAAAGGCAAATTGAAGTCTAACTTATTAAAATAAAATGTGCGTATTGTTTGGAGTCTAAAATGTTGGCGATATTAAATTTGGACTCTGCTATAATTTATTATTAATTTTTCAAAATTTTCTAAAAATGGAAAAAAAGGGATTATCAAAGAACAAAAAATTACACAAAAATTATTAAAAAATATAAAATTACAATCTAAGTTATTAAAATAAAGTGGACGAACAATTTGGAGTCTAAAAAAATTGGTGGCACTGAATTTGGAATCTGCTATGATTTATTATTAATTTTTTAAAAAAAATTTCTAAAATAAAAAAATAGATTATCAAAGTATTAAAAATTACACAAAAAATATTAAAAAATTGAAACTGGGATCTAACTTATTAAAATAAAATATAAGTATTTTCTGGAATCTAAAAAAATTTAGAGTTGCTGAATTCGGACTCTCCTATTATTTATTACTAATTTCTTAATTTCATTCCACAACTGGGAAAAATGGATTATCAAAACAATAAAAAATTGCCCAACAATTATTAAAAAATAGAAATTGCAATCCACATTGTTAAAATAAAATGTACGTATTGTCTGAAGTCTAAAATAATTGACGGCATTGAGTTAGAACACTGCTATGATTTATTATTAATTTTTTAATTTCTTTCACGAAATAGAAATAAATGCAATAAAAATTACACAAAAATTATTGAAAAATGGAAAATTGAAATTTAACTTATTAAAATAAAAAGTACGCATTTTATGGAGTCTGAAAAAATTGGCGGCAATGAATTCATACTCTCTTATTATTTATTATTAATTTTCTCATTACTTTGCTAAAATTCAAAAAAGGATTTTAAAAGCATTAATGTAACACCCCCCATTTTCTTTTATATATGTATATAGATATATAGTAAATAATTGTTGTAAAAATGGGGATATGTGTAGTGATGTGTGTTTGAATTTGGTAGAATGAAAAAGGGATGAACAGTGCACTGGCTGTAACATCAAGCTCGATTTCGACCTTGATGCAGTCCATATCTCTCAAAACTTAAAACATGAAATTTGTAGAGCTCTCTCTTAGGATTCCATATCACCTTGAATCATCGCAATCGGAACTAGGAGGAAGGAGTTATGTCCATATTACGAAGTAGTGTCTACACTGTCCAAAAATCTGTCCGGCAGACTACCTTTCGCTAATTTCATCATAACTCTTTATTGGAAAGTCCGAATGGTGCATCGTTATTTTTGTTAGAACCCTAACTCGTATATCTTTCCAACCATATAGGTTACACCTCCTAGAAATACCTGAGTCAAATCAGTTTATTCT